AAAGCTTATTACAAAAAAAACAAAAAAAACAATAGTTCTGCATGGAACATTTTGAGGTCATTTCATGTCTAAAGTCTCAGTTGTGCTCAGTTTAGGTTATATGTAACAGTAACTTTTCACAACTAACTTCAACTTTGAGCTATTTAGGCTTTTTAAATTGTGTTAACTTTATAAAATCGTGAAAATTATAACATTATCTTTTAATATGCATCATGATTAAAGACTTGAGTAACACCCAATTTGTTTGATAACCCTTTAATAAAATAGAAGGACTTTTAAAAAGAGATCAGCTCGTGACCAGAGCCTTACAAACTGGTGCCTTTATTTACCAGTGAAAGCAAAATGCTTGCACTGGATTTTCAGTAACACTTTTTTTTGTATTTCTATCTCACACACTAACAGTAGTTATTTGCAAAATCCACCTGAAATTTGAAAATGTGTTTTCATGTTTTGATGATTTGTTTGTGAATTAGGTTGATTTGTACATATGTATTGTGTGCTTTTGTGCTGCTTTAGTGTTTTGCTTGTATAAAACATTAACTGATGAATGAGCAAATGAGGGATTTAACCGATTTAATGCATACTTCTTATTGAACAACTGACATAACTTGAATGACGTGGTTCAATTCTTATGTTTGGTTTGTAATGTTTGTATTATGTTTGTAATGTGGTCTGTCTATTGTCAACTGTACTTCTTCATAAAAATATATTGTCTCTATGTATGATTTCATGGATTTTGTCCTGTGGACAGTGACCCCTGTTGTGTATACATTTTTGAAGAAAATGCAAGAGGGGATTTTTATGCAGGCACGTTACAAGCTATTTGTTGACGTCCAGTGAGGTTTTTTGAGACATTAAGCTATGAAATTCCTGCTTGAGTTAAAAAAAAAAAAAGAAAAACTAAAAACAGACTGCACAAAGGTAACAAGATAGTCTTATTTTTTTCAGAATGTGCCTCATAGGAGAAGGGGAGAGGCTGTTCGCCTGAGCGCACATAAGAGGTGTTATTCTGCTGTCTCTGATTACTGCAGATTTGTGGTCTCAGGTCAGAACAATAACCAAAATAACCCTCTCAGAGGACCTGATAATACTGAGTAATCTAATCTTATCAAATTTGTCCTATTTTGGGACTCCGTGTAAGGTGTGAAAGCGTGGATGTGCGTGCTGAGCATCTGAATGCATACTGTACGAAAGCTTGTATACATTTACACAGCTCTTTCTGACAGAAAACTGATACGACCTTTATTTGTGGGAACAAATAGATGACACTAGAAAATTAAAACATTTCTGCAACCTAGAGTATGTATATATATATATATATATATATATATATATATATACTCTGGTACTTGGCAGGTCTTAAAATTTGGACAATTAATCCCCAGATTAACAACAACACATGACATATCACACTCTGTCATTATTTATTTAACAATAAAAGTCCAAAATGGAAAAGCCATGTGTGACAAACCAAGGACACCCTTACTGTTAACATGGGAATTAAGAGGGTAAATAACGGTCAGGCAATGCTAATCAAATACCTTTGATTAACTGATCATCAGCAAGTGTGAGCAGCTCTATAAAAGCAGAAGTTTTGTCAGTTTGCTGGTCTGGAGTCCTCAGGTGTAAAGAGGAAAGACATCAGCAATGATCTTAGAGAAGCAATTGTTGCTGTCATCAATCTGGGAAGGGTAATACGGCCATTTCCAAACAATTTGAAGTCCATCATTCCACAGTGAGGAAGATTATTCACAAGTAGAAGACATTCAAGACAGTCACCGATCTTCCCAGGAGTGGACGTCCCAGGAAATTCACCCCATGGTCAGACCAAACAATACTCTGAGCAATTGTAGACAACCCAAGAACTACACCTCAGACTCTACAGGCATCAGTTAACATGTTAATTAATAAAGTTTGTGACAATTAAAAAAGACCAGACAAGTATGGCATGTTTGGAGGGGTTGCCAGAGGAAAAGCCTCTTCTCTCTAAAAAGAACATTTCAGGATAGCTTAGGTTTGCAAAGCTGCATCTGAACAAACCATAAGACTTCTAGAACAATGTCCTTTGAACAGACGAGACCAAAGTGGAGATGTTTGGCCATAATGCACAGCGCCACGTTTGGTGAAAGCCAAAAGAGCATATCAGCACAAACACCTCATACCAAAAGTCAAGCATGCTGGTGGAGGGCTGATGCGTTTGGGCTTGTCTTGAAGCCACAGGACCTGCCTCACAGTCATTGAGTCGACCATGTACTCTGTATACCTAAATATTCCAGAGTCAAATGTGAGGCCATCTGTCTGACAGCTAAAGCTTGGCCAAGATTGGCTCATGCAACAGGACAATGATCCCAAGCACACCAGCAAATCTACAACAGAACGGCTGAAAAGAAAAGAATCAAGGTGTTGCAGTCAAAGTCTAGAAGTCTAGACCTCATCCTGACTGCAAAGCTGTGGTGAGAGCTGTGCATAAACAAATGCCCAAAAACCTCAATAAACTAGAGCAACATGGTAAAGAAGAGTGTGCCAAAACTCGTCCAGAATGATGTGAGAGACTGATAAAGTCATACAGAAAATGATTACTTCAAGTTATTGCTGCTAAAAGTGGATCCACAAGCAAGTGAATCATAGGGTGTCCTGTATTTGGCACACATGGCTTTTTCATATTGGATTTATTTTTGCTAAATAAATACTGACCCAGTGTGATATGTCGTGTGTTTTTATTCATCTGAGGTTTTATTTCCCAATTTTTAAGCCCTGCCAAGGACCAGATTATTATTTTTTTTATGTCCTGATATGGAAAACCATGGAATTCAACAGGGTGTTCTTTCTTTTTCACATTACTGTGCACACACATATATATATATATATATATATATACAGTATATATAAACAGGCTCGGATAACCCCATTACTTAAGAAACCCACTCTTAACCGAGCACTTTTAGAGAACTACATACCGATATCCCTTCTTCCATTCATTGGGAAAACACTTGAACGAGTTGTGTTCAACCAAATCTCTTTCCTTCTCATACAGAACAACCTCCTCTACAGCAACCAGTCTGGCTTCAGAAGTGGACATTCGACCGAGACTGCCTTGCTCTCAGTTGTTGAAGCCCTAAAACTGGCAAGAGCGGATTCCAAATCCCCAGTACTTATCTTGCTGGATCTGTCCGCTGTTTTTGACACGGTTAACCACCAGATCCTCCTGTCAACCCTATTGGCAAAGGGCATCTCAGGAACCACACTCCAGTGGTTTGAGTCTTACCTCTCAGATAGGTCCTTCAAGATATCTTGGTCGCAACATCTAGCTACTGGGGTGCCTCAGGGCTCAGTTCTTGGACCGCTTCTCTTCTCTATCTACATATCATCACTAGGTTCTGTCATTCAGAAACATGGCTTTTCATATCACTGCTATGCTGATGACACTCAACTCTACCTCTCATTCCATCCTGATGATCCGACGATAGCTGCTCGCATCTCAGCTTGTCTAACAGACATTTCTTGCTGAATGAAGAACCATCATCTTAAACTCAACCTTGCCAAGACAGAACTGCTTGAGGTTTCAGCAAACCCATCACTTCATCACAATTTCTCCATCTAGTTAGGCTCATCAACCATAACACCTTCCAAGACAGTCAGTCTCCAGACAGTCTTGGAGTTATGATTGATGATCAGCTGAATTTCTCAGACCACATTGTTAGAACTGCCCGGTCCTGCAGATTTCCCTTATACAACATTAGGAAGATCAGGCCCTTTCTATCAGAACATGCTACAGAAATCCTTGTTCAGGCTCTTGTTCTGTCAAGGCTGGACTATTGCAAAGCTCTCTTGGCAGATCTTCCAGCCAGTTATATCAAACCAAAACTAATCCAGAAAGCAGCAGCAAGATTAGTCTTTAATGAGCCAAAAAAGAGCGCATGTCACACCTCTGTTCATCAGTTTGCACTGGCTACCAATAGCCAGTCATATAAAATTCAAGGCATTGATGAAACAAGGCATCTACTTGTTTTCTTTTTATTTATTATAAAAAATGGCTCTCTAATACTAGCGTTCTCTATTCATTTTCTATTCTTTCTTTTTATTCATTTGCGTTAGGCTAACCGAGACTTGTCACCGCACTTACATATTATTGCTCACATACACACACACGGACTGGATGATGCTGAGATCAGATCTCTGTGTGGAGCACTGGCTGTTTTCAGACAAAAATCTCACTGGATTTTTACAATTAATGGCAAAAGGAATGTAAACTGATATTTCCTACTGACACACTACAGCTAAAGATAGAAATAACTTTTTTTAAATACTAATGGCCTAAGACTTTTGCACAGTACTGTTTGTGTGTGTGTGTATAGTCAGTATATCAGTTTACATTCCTTTTGCCATTAATTGTAATAATCCAGTGAGATTTTTGTCTGAAACAGCCAGTGCTCCGCACAGAGATCTGATCTCAGCATCATCCAGTCTGTCTGGGATTATATATATATGTATATGTATGTGTATGTGTATGTGTATGTGTATGTGTATGTGTGTGTGTGTGTGTGTAAAATATAATATATTCTTGCCAAGCAGCTTTTTATGTATTTATTATTATTATTATTATTATTATTAAAGAGTTACAAATGTAATCGGGATACATTAGGATAAACAAAATTACCTAACTGATATCAATTCTAAAATAAAAAAATAAATAAAAAACAGAAATACAGTTAAATAAAAACATTACAATGTTTAAAATTACATTTAAAGCACATTTTATATTACCACATCTTATTTATGTTTAATTTATTTTTAGATATTGTTAAAAACAAAGGCTTATTTAACCTATGATTACAATTATGTTCACTGAATTATAAAATCAAAATATAGAAATTAAGAAGTAATGATATAAATAGCAGATTAATATTTATAGTGATATATAAATATTCTTTACTGAATATGTAATATTCCTTTTAAGAACATATGTCATAGGCGGCCGCGCAGAGGCGCTAGTGGACGTAACGGTGACGTACTGTTGAAGCGACGGAAGAGTTGTTTGTAGAAGAGCTTGCGTTTGTTACTCGTCCAGCACATCCTAAAGTCAAAGACTGAGGTAAAACAAAAACACTCTTTGTCTTATAAGGCTGTTTAATCGATATAGTGTTAATTCCGAAACTCCACAGGTACAGTTTGACGCGTGTTGTGAAGCATCTAGGATTGTGCGTCAATCTGACACAGCAATCATTCCAGATGTGTTTAGATCTGTGATCTCTTTAGAGGGCTGCACTCGTGTTTTATTGTGATTTAAATGGTAGGAAGTGTGTGTTAATGGTATATATTACATTTCAAATTACATTGAAGTCTTTATTCATTGTCTCTTGGGTGGGTCATGTACCCATGCTCTCATAGAAATGGCATATGACACGTATAATATGTATGTATGTATGTGTGTGTGAGAGTGTTAGAGTGTGAGTGAGTGAGTGTGTGTGTGAGAGTGAGTGAGTGTGTGTGTGAGAGTGAGTGAGTGTGTGTGTGAGAGTGAGTGAGTGTGTGTGTGAGAGTGAGTGAGTGTGTGTGTGAGAGTGAGTGAGTGTGTGTGTGAGAGTGAGTGAGTGTGTGTGTGAGAGTGAGTGAGTGTGTGTGTGAGAGTGAGTGAGTGTGTGTGTGAGAGTGAGTGAGTGTGTGTGTGAGAGTGAGTGAGTGTGTGTGTGAGAGTGAGTGAGTGTGTGTGTGAGAGTGTGTGTGTGT